TCCATCCATCCATCCATCTATCCATCTATCCATCCATCTATTATCCATCTATTTAGTCATCATAAGGAATGAAATGGAATGAATTCGAACAAGAAGAGATGAAATCGGCCGACTGGAAGAGAGAAAACCTTGACGTTGATATATGTTCGCAATGAACAAATTCAACCTGACATAATATTACAGCAACCTTAAACAGCTTTTAATGTTTCCTCCTCCTGATATTGTCGATGATAATGATAATGATAATGATGATGATGATGCTGTTGAAATATTGATATATCTTTTTGTCATAACAGTGAATGGATGCTTTCATCTTCTAATAATCATCATTTAATTTAATTTATCAATCATTGCCATCAATTACAATTTTTGCTACACCATTGTATAAAACTTGTTTTTAAAGATTTCTCGTAGAATATTGTCAGTTATCTGGATAGATAGCATCTGACCCATTATATGTTTGTTGTGCTTCCTCTCATTAGTGATATTTTTAATATATCATTTTTGCTGTTATCTATCCGTTGCATCTTTTTGTATGTAATTTTTTTTTCTCTCGTCATATTTTTTTAAATTATTTCTTCATCATAGACTATTCATCATATTTCAGGAATGTGATGATGTATTTTACGATAATTATTCTACTTTTTACAATTTTGGATACACGAATATCTGGAGCTGAGAATGTGTCAACATTGTTATTGGTAATGTACAATATTTGAAATACTCCAAATATCATCCATTTCCCTTACCTTTTTTTCTTTTTTTGGGAAGAATTTTTAAATCATTTTTTTTAAATAAAAATGACAATTGTTTACATTTATAACTGATTCAGTATAATCATCATGATAACAGAGATTTTTAAAACAGCATTAGTGGTAAGACATATATGCTGTCACAAATTTCAGAAATGTGTCAAATCTCTTTTGATTTAAAATCCTTGCTCCAGACAAATACGAATGCCCACAATCCTGGTATCCATATGAGATTAATGTCCTCTGGTCTTGCATATCTACGTGAAATAGGCATGAAAATTGTGAATGATGAAATATTGCGAATTCAATTACCAACCATTACGGAAGTTATTGAAGCTGGTCAGGTAAATAAATATGTGTACATGAAATGGATGTTTATTGTAGTTGTGATAAAATAAAATTGATTATACTAATTAATCGAGCTAAGTAATTAATTAATTAATTTTTAATTCAGTGACTTTCCCTTTTTTAAATCATCATCGTTTTTGTTTGCTGTCCTCATTTTTCAAAAGTGAATGAGAGAAAATAAAATTTTCCCATTTTGATGAAATGTGTATCGTAGCATAATGCTGTACGAAATAACTCTCAACTGCATCATTTCTTTATCAGTTGATAAGCACTATCTTTTATAGAAAATAAATATATACTTTTGTTAAATGACCGATATTTTAACTGGCTGATAAATTAAAAACGGAGAAATTAATTTAAATCAAGTTTTTTCTCCTTTTTTTTCTCTTTTTTATTAAAAATAACTTCTCTTCTGTCGACTATTACAAAAAAAAAATGGATTGCTGTGAGTGATCGAACAATTTTAATAGATGTGATAGTACTTTTTTGAAGATGATATTTGTCAAATTTTCAAAAATAACGAATACCTTCGTCGTCTTATTTCAGGTTTCGATATATGATTCATATGTTTCAAAATACTGGTCACCATCAGATTATAGTCTGGAATTGTCACCACCAGACATGTTTACATGGTCAATGGCTAAAATGCACATTAGGTTTGGAACGAAATAATATCATTTAATCTTTTGTTAATTATTAAAGAATGGATGGATGCATCGTTGCTCATTGTATCGTTGACTCACTTCAACTAAATAACTAATTTCAAAAGTCATATGATATTTAGAGCAGGAGGCGAATTTCAAGCAATATTCACTGGGCCATTTTTAATTCCAGCAGTACCAATTCGTGGACAATTCGAAACTTTATTCGGTCATGTAAGCTTAACAATAGCTGTCAGACTAGCCAGGTTTGTTCATTTTAGCTTCCTTTTTTTTTGCTCTACTTAACACACGATCATTATCATTACTTTGTTTTGAAAATCTTTTAAAGTTTTAAGCATATTTTTGAATATATTATAAAATTGCGAGCGTATTATAATTTTAAAATTATTACTTTGTTTTGAATACATTTCGATGTTTTAAGCATATTTTTGAATGTGTTATAAAATTGCAAGCATATTACAATTTTAAAATTTCAATTTTTAATTATGTAAATTTTTAGAACACGAGCTGGTGCTCCAATGGTACAATCAACGTATTGCCATGCTGATGTTGGCTATGTTGATTTAAATGTTCGAAACACTGGTGTTATCACAGATTTCTTCATCAATACATTTAAAAGTATAGAGGAAAATTGTCTACATTAATCAAATGCATCTGAAGATGTCACTTCATTTTTTTAATTTCATTAATCAATAAATAGTATTTCAGCTTTCATAATTGCTCACTTCAAACCGATTGTAGAGGATCGTATATGTCAAATGATAAAGAATATGATTAATAAAGATATGAATTACATATTAGCAACAATGCCTCTTCAGGTGAGTTTTTAATTTTAATCAGTAGTATTGGAATTTGAATTATATGCAATTAGAGCTTAGAAATGAATCGGAAATGAATAAATATAACAAATTATCAAGTAAACTTATTAAATAATATCATACTATTCTTTTTCTGGTACTATAATAATCATAAAAATAGTGTTAGAGTAGTCATCCATTTTGCAATCTTTTCATTCATTGTTGTAAAATATTATTCGAAATATGAAAATTGATTTTATTAAAACTAAAAACAGCAAAACTTAACTTTGATAAAAAATCATAATTTAGATACCTATTAATAAAAATTCAGTGGATATATTTGGGATATCTTTTAATTTACCAACAAGAAAGCCGCTTAGCAGGTTTGGCGAAATTGGTGCTAAAAATATTACTTTATTAAATATTGTTAATCATTTACGACAGAAAAGTCTTATTTTGGATTATCGACTCATTCGTGACCCACTTATCGCATATGGAACTATTGAAATGCTATCACGGGGTGAAATTTCTTGGTCAGTTTATAAATATTTTTATTAAATAAAGATAGCTTTTAAAAATGCAGCGCATTTTTTTTGAATGATAAACATCTAAAACTGTAAGCTTATCGAGATCAAATTGTTACACCCTAGTTGTTTTCTGGAATTGAACAAGTGATGTGTCAATTTTATCATCAGATTATGCGGTATATATACTGGATAATCTGGCGAAT